TCAGATTTAACTGATAGAGTTTTATGTTTAACAATTCATAGTGAAGGATTGTAGACTTATGTTTCGTTTGAGACAGTTTTTTACTGCTGTTTAAAATAATATTTTAGTACAAAATTTTAATTTTTGTATTAAAAAGTTACTTTAAGAAGCACTATTTCTCAAAACAGCTTTCTAAAACAAAAGTTCTTTGCTCAAAAAAATTTGGTACTAAAAACTCATTTGAAAAACGGGCTTCATTTGGGACATCTTTCTTACATCTTTATTTTTCCGGTTGTAACCATTATTTTTGTTTGGCAAATATTTTTTAATCGCTCTAAATAAATTTTTATACTAGGAAGCTACGTTAAAAAAAAAAAAAACTACTATTTTTCACAATAGCTTTGCAACCACCTTTATAAAAAATTATCGCCGTCCCAAATGGACTCTTAGGCTTCCTTTGTGGCAGTTTCCTTATTGCTTTGCTTTCATATCGCGATCATAATTTTTATTTCGCCATTATTTTTTTCTACTTTCAAAATATTATTGAACTATAAAGTTGTTTTCCATAACTATTTTAAAAAGTTATTTTTTCTTTACAACAGCTTTACAAAAAAAAGTAATTACCACATTTGAATCCTTATAGGAAAAAAAAACTGAATTTTATTAATTAATTTAATGTTTTTCTTTTTAAAAATTAGACTAATAGGGAAAACCGCTACAACATCAAAGAATATATTAAGTCAATATATACCTAGAAAAAGGAGAAATTTATGTCTCCATCACTAAAAAAAATTGACATGATTGAAAATCACAATGGTAGAAGATCAAAGACTAAAAGGGAAGAATTAAGAGACTTCATCAATGCTATAAGAGGAAGACTTCATATGAGGCTATCATGCTCGTGAGATAATTTTTAGGTTTCTTCTTTGTTTGTTTTTGTACTATAACTTTAAGATTGTAGATGCTCTTTCAATTGATATGTCATGATTTTGAATTTTCTATTTTATTTTGGCATCATTTGAAATAGTTTTCTTATTATTTTCTAAAGCAACTTTTTAGTTAAAAAATTTCAAGTTGAAAAATATTATACTAATAAACTGTTTTAAAAAACAGTAAAAAATTGTATGACGACTTTCTTTTTTCTTCTTAAATCAGCATTCTAGTAAAAAAATTTAATTGTATTAAAAAATTGTTTTAAGAAGCAGAAAGAAAGCCGTTCCAAACGAAGCCTTATTATGTCAAAACCATCTTTTGATTCTCTCTCCAAGACATAAACATGATTGAAGATGAACACTATAAATCTTAGTATTATTTAAATTTTTTATTTTAAAATCTTAGTATCATCTTCCTATTTGGCAACTTTCTCAAATGTGAAGATTTTGATGCCCTTCTTACAATAAATTACATTTTATAAGATGACTTTTTATACCTTACATAATGTTTAAGTCCGCTTCACATATTTGTCATAAGGGACCTAACAATTTCAAAAAAAAATTGAAATTTTTTTCATATATTATAAAACAAATTACTTTGATGACATATCATCAAATTCCTTCAAATTATTGATAGAAAATGAAAATTTTTAATTCTTCTCAACAATAATTTTGAACTCTTCTCAATAAACATAAACCAAATGTGAGTTATTACAATCGGATAATTTGACTTTTATGCATCATAATAGTGAAATTAGAGAAATATGCTCATTTGATTTTTGAGAAAATATGCCCGAAAAGTTTTTTCAAATCAAAATACCACTACTTCATATAAATAAAATTCAAAGAGGCCCTCAACCAAATTGTTTCTCAAGCTTTTGTGCAAGAAATTGCTTCTCTTCTTTTCCTTAGCACCTTCACCACCTTCCTTTCCCCATTGCCCTTCCCTTTCAAGTGATATTTCGATTTCTTTCGGAATTTGTTAGCATGTGATGGATTAGCGGCAATTTTTTTGTCCCTGTTTTTGGCTAGTTGTTCTAGGTTATTGATAGCATTTATGTTTAAAATGTCATTCATATTGTAAACCCTAAATCAAGAATGAAATTAGGAAGCACATTACTTGCTTTAAATGTTGATTTAAACAAGCTTTAGTGTGATTAAAAAAGAGATTCAATGTTGATTAAACATTTAACAAATCTCATTAGTCACTTTTTCATAAATTTTTAGTAGATTCAAATAATTTTTTTATCAAAACTGACATATTGTTCAATCGATGTTCAAATAATATTTGATTAAGGTTAGAACAAGTTTGGAAACCTAAACAAATAAGCTTTGAGCTTGTTTTGATTAATACATGAATAAGGTTCAATAAAAATCAATTAGGGTTCAAATAATGTGCATTTGCATTTTATTATGTATGTAGATGTCTATTAAAATCATACATGTAGAGAGGCTTTACACTGGGCGTGTAATCAAAATAAATTGGTAGGTAATTTACGGGTATGTGATCAACATTGGAGTTGATGTTATGATTATCTCTTAATTCCGTCGGACGCTCGAGGGGCCCATGACTTGAATGCAAATTTTGAAAAGAAGTGGGCGGTTTAGGAGAGAATTAATTTTTGGTAGGAGTTGTTTAGTAATTATCATTATATTTGTATTCTCTAAATAGGGAGAAAAATGTTAGGGCTAGGGTCATGTTATTTTTGACTAAATTTGTATTTCTCTCAGGGTTTGATGGGGCTTTACCCGCCGGCTAGGGAATAAGAGAGCCGGATCTTTCTCTCGAATTGAAGATCCATTGTATCATGTTTGTTTTCTTCCCTCTTTCATCAATTATAAAATTTCCCTAATGTTTTGCCACCAAAATTCTCTCAATTTCTATTTTTTCTAGCTGAAATTTAAAATTTCAGCCATGATTCTTTAAATTTATGCAAGTATTTCCTATCAAATTGGTATCTACCTCCCACTTCAAAGTGGTTGTCCTTCCGGTGTCCATCCACCTACTTCATAACTTGTTGTGTCATCAACACATGCCTCTTCAATTCCTCCAATACCCTATCTATTTCCTCAAAGTACTGATATACTGAAGAGAGCTATTAGTGATCATGCAGCTGGCTCAGAGTTACATGTGACACAGATAGAGGATTTAGAGATGTTATTAGAACCATTGGAGTTGAGAGGGATTTGACAGGGAGACCAAAGGACCAAAGAGGTTCTGATAAAATGGAAGAACTTACCGAACCATGATGCCAGCTGGGAGCCATATGAGAGGGTGAAGCATCAATTTTAATCCTTTCACCTTGAGGACAATGTGACTCTTTAGAAGGGGGTTATTGTTAGACGGGTCAAAGATGGACCGATCCAGCCGGTCTTACACCAAGTTCAGCCCTTGGTATATTACAGGCAGACCAAGCAAGCTGTCGGCCCCATTGTGGGGCTCATGATTTGAATGCAAATTTAAGAAAGAGGGGGAGGTTTAGGAGGGAATTAATTTTGGGAGGGACTGTTTAGTAATTATCATTATATTTGTATTATATAAAAAGAGGGGAAAGGGCTTTTCTTAGGTTATGTTATATTTGGCTAAATTTGTATTTCTCTTAGGGTTTGCTTGGGCTCTAGCTGCCGGCTAGGGAATAGAAGAGCCGAATCTTCCTCTCGAATTAAAGATCAATTGCATCTTGTTTGTTTTTTCCCCTCTTTCATAAATTATCAAATTTCGCTAGTGTTTTGCCACCAAATTTATCTCATTTTTTGTTTTATCTTGCTTAAACTCCAAATTTCAGCAGATTTTTTATTATTATTATTTTTGCAAGTATTTCCTATCAAATTGGTATAAGTCCCGCACTTCAAAATCGATGTCCTTTCAGTGTTCATCCACCTACTTCTTCATAATTTGGTGTGCCCACAACAAGTGCCTCTTCAATTCCTCCAACACCCTATCTCTTTCCTCAAAATACTGATATACTAAAGAGAGCTATTATGGATCATCCAGCTAGCTCAGAGTTACATGTGACACTGATAGAGGATTTAGATATGTTATTAGAAATAGTGGAGTAGAGAGGGGTCCGACAGGGAGACGAAGGAACCAAGGAGGTTCTGATAAAATGGAAAAACATACTGAACCATAACGCCACTTGGGAGCCATATGAAAGGGTGAAGCACCAGTTTTAATCCTTTTACCTTGAAGACAAGGTGACTCTTTGGGATGGGTTATTGTTAGACGGGTCCAGATGAACCGGTCCAACAGGCCCAACACCAAGGTTGGCCCTTGGTGTATTTCACGAGGACCAAGCAAGCCGACAACCCCCTTGTGGGACCCATGATTTGAATACAAATTTAAAAAAGAGGGGGCTTTGATCGTCGACTAAGGAATAGTAGAACTGGATCTTCCTCTCAACTTGAAGATCTATTGTATCTTTTTTGTTTTATTCCCTCTTTCATCAATTATCAAGTTTCCCTAGTATTTTGCCACCAGAATTCCCTATATTTCTATTTTATCTTGCTAAAAATTTCAAATTTCAACTAAGTTTCTTTCAATTTCTGCAAGTATTTCTCATCAAGTTCCATGCAGAGGCCTTATTCACAAAGAAGGATTTAAATGATTAATTTATTACTAGATAGGTTAAATGTCCTACATAAGAGAAATGCCAAGATAGCTTGTCATTTAATTGCCTAACATAGCATTTAGATGATATTCAACAAGATTGAAGGTATATCGGTTGAGCAACATACAAGCATAGAGGAAGAGTCAGACTTGGAATGCAATATGATTACATAACAAGTGGAAAAAAAATGAGGAAATGTTTATTTGCGACATGTCTTCATGCGATTATTCAATAATTGTTGAACTGCAGAATGATTAAGTTCCTAATAAATAGAAATAATTATATTTGATTGCTTATGGAGTGATAAATAGCCCGTCATTGAGATGCATGCTTGCTAATACATATAAATAATTATAATGATATAACAATAAATATGAATATTTCTAATTATAATTATATAAATATTCGTAAAAATCCCTCTACAAAAATGATAAGCAGAGAGATCCCCAACCAACTTTTTATTAACAGAAGCAAGAAAAAAGAAGCCAAAACTAAAGAGTTATGTTGCAGTTGGCCCTATGTTTTCTTTGTAAAAGATAAGGCCTCTTTGGGAAAAAAATGTCAAAGTTAAGCATGTAAAGCAGCACTATAATCATTGTAAGGCAAATATTTCTCAACTATGCAGAAGAAATTTATCAAAGTTTGATCAGCTTTTATAAAGGCATACATACAAGCAGATCATCTAATAAGCAGAAAGGAAGGCATAGTTCCTCAAGTGTGAAGATAATTTGCTGCCATCATCAACTCCAAAGTTATCTCAGGCTCTATATGAAACTCGGTTTCCTTGCCACTGCCATATAGATTTACCAAAACAGGCGATGAATTAACATATAAATGTAGAGAAAACAACAATAATTAAAAAATATAGACAAAAAGATATATTATAAGATGTTTTAAAATACCCAGAATAACATAAGATTTGACTTGAAAAGATTATTGGTGATTACTTGTAAAGAGGACAGTGACAACAAAAGAGCGCACACAAAGTTCTAAAACTTAGGCAGAACATAAGGAGAGAAATTATTCTGTGTGGAGACCAAATGGCAAGAACCGTTCGGATTTGCTGCGTTTTAGCTGCCTTTTACTGCACTTTTGTAAATACTCAGCAAAAAGACAGCAAATATGCATTCATAATTGTATATTTGCTGTCATTTTGCTGAGTATTTGTAAAAGCGCAACAAAATGACAGCTAAAGTACAATAAATATCCTACTAATTGAAAATTTGCTGTTATTTTGTTGCATTTTTACAAATACTCAGCAAAAGGACAACAAAAAGGGCATTCATCATTGCATATTTGCTGCCCTTTTGTTGAATATTTACAAAAACGCGGCAAAAGGGCAACAAATTTGAACAATTCTTGCCGTCTGGTGTCCCCACAGAATAATTTCTCGAAAATAAGACATTTCATTTTCCACACTCTATAGTCACCCTTTTGTCAGATAATTAAATTAGAAATAACAGATTAAAAAGTTTTTTTTTTAATATTAAAAAGATTGGTTATAATGACATCTATTGATGACAAGACAGTAGGAAAGGGATTTAAGTAGTTTGGGCCATTAATTATGGACCAATAAGATGGATGGATAAATTTAATTTTGAAGTATTAGGAAGAAAAAGAGGTGGATTAAACGGAATTGAATAGAACTTGTAAAAAAAGATTTATATGAAATGGGACTTAATAACAAATGCAACATTCAACAAGGACAAATTGAGAATGGTAATTCGTGTCGCTTAACCCAATCTCTTGGGATAGAGCTAATGATAATGGTGATACTATTTTGTTACCTAGTATATCTCTTGGTAGAAGAATGATTGATGCACGAGCATTTTTTAAGGCTACTTCACAAGAGACTCAGTTTACATGCAACTAAAGAAAACATCATTATATGAGAATCAATCGCGTGAATTGAGGCATGAGGCATAATATCACGAGCTTGCAAATTCTCTCAAATCTCATCAAATTTCATGGTCACTCAAATCTTAAGCAAATCTCCTTAAAGTCAAAACCAAACTAATTCCCTACATAATCAAGTTTTCATACTATGAATATAATTTTATCATTATGCATCTAATTTTTACATATAAGTAGACGATTTTCATGAGGTCAATGAGATTTACAGCTTTTCAGAAGAAAATTTTCTCACATTTTGTCAACAAGACATACCAAAAAACAAAAAACGAAACAAAAACAAATATAAAAACATGACATCCATAATCCAAACCTTTTAGCTCCCCTCCTTGAATGCCTCTTATGTATGAGGGGGAGATTAGTGTTAGGTTTATACTTGATTATTGTGTTATCTTGGATTTTCTTCTTGGTTTCTTGGGCTCTAGATTCATTTAGAGATTGGGAGATAATGATCATCCTCTCAAATTGAGGATCAATTGTATCTGTCACTTGTATCTGCATTGTTTTTTTCTGTTGATTTGATTTCTACAATAAAAACTATTGATTTGATTGTTCTTTCATTGGAATTGTTGAGATTTTCTGGCTGATTTTATCAATCTTGTATTCTTGTTAGGATATATTTGAAATCTTCAAGTATTTCCTATCATCATGAACTTAACCCATGTCGCTCCCCCTTCTTGGACACAATCATTTTTTGTACTGAAAGGCCATAAATGAATCCTCAAGACCCTCCCACATTTAATGCAGAACTCGTTTACCCATGGGAGAAATACCGCTCTGTGAAGACCAATACCATGCAAATACCGGTACAACTCGGTATTTGCTCGGGATTTGCTCGGTATTGCTAGGGATTTGCTCAGTATTGCTAGAAAAAACTCGGTACAACTCGGTATTTGCTCGGTATTGCTAGGTATTTGCCCGGTATTGCTCAATATTGGCTATTGACGAGCAAAATCGACCAATACCTATCAATACCAAGCAATCCTGGGCCCGTTCCGGGTCGGGTTGTCGGGGCGCGCGGTAAATAATGAAAACGCGTAGCGCGATTCTACTGGCGGCCGAACGTAGAGTTGCGTACGTTCACCGGACCAAATAAAAGTTCCATTACAAGGGTGTTGTAAAGCCTGGGGGCATTAAACCATACCAGTTTTTGAAGTACATTTGGACCAAGCCACAAATTGTCATTCAAAAAATATTATAAATATCTAAATAAATGTAAGTGAGGAATTATTGATAGAAGAGTGAAACACTAAACCATGTGAAAAAGAGAATAAAAAAACTAATGAAAACATCGGGTTCTACATTCCTTACCATGCTTAAATTATAAACTAGCATCTTAATTTTGACCTTAACTTATAAACATCAAATGATTTTAACACCTTATTGGAATATAAAAAATAATACTCAATGACACATCAAGCAAATGCTCATAACTTGATTATCTCATAAACCTAGAAGATTGACATACTCTACCTTTGGTAAATTATTTGAAAAAGATTTTCATATCACCATCATGGCTCCATAACAACTATTTTGGGTCGATATTATAAATCATCATTTTTCATTCATCACTGTTATGTGATGTTGGAGATATAAAACCTTCACAAATCATTTTGAAGAACTTATATCCATGTTATCTTAGGTCTCCCACTTTTCAATCCTAATTCATTGAAAATAATTTTATCAACTAGCCTAATAGTCGCATTTCTACATCTCATTGTACATGTCTTAAAAATCTAAGTTATTTCCAACTGAGTCATTTTCAATATATATCACTCCAACCTTTTATTTAATAAAATTCTTTCATAATTTATCATTTTTCTATCATGCAGCCATCTTAGCATTATTATATCTACTACACTCAACTTAGATATCAATGATTCTTTTATATGCCAATATATGAATCCAAAGAATGTCTGTGTCATAATTACAGTTTTATTAAATTTAATTTTAAGCTTCCATGGCATCCATTTATAACCTAAAATTTCGAGTGACAATGCAAGAACATAATCATACAAGTCATTCTCAATAATCACCTCTTCAATCTACCTGAAAAACTCATAAGGCAAACAAAAAAATCAAAGTTGGTAATTGTGTATTTTAGAAACCAAAATTTCCTGCTGAGAATGTATATGATAGGAATCTTAATCATATTTGGCATGTATAAAACGACGAGAAACTTCAACTTCTCAACTTAATCAGAATATAAGAAAATCCAACCCATTTAAATCATTCTCAAAGTCCAGTTAATTTTAGAGCAAGTGCAATTGCCGTTTAGAAAAAAAAACATGAAAAGGAAGGAAATGACAGATAGATACCTGGCAAATTGAAGCGACCAATAGAAATATTGGCAGATTTTCTCCAGAATTGGAGTGCTGATTTCTGGAAAAGTAACCTCACCATGCTGCGTCTCCGCGAAGCTACCTATCACACGAGATCGAGAAAAGCCGCGATCAGGAAATAAAAACCCTAACCCCGAAATCATTTTCCTTGGAAAGGAAGATAGAACCTGGAGAAGTGAGCATGTTGCGGATCGTGTGGGAGACCATGGCAGCCTTCTTATCGACAACGAACTCGAAGCCCTCGGCGCTAACGAGCTTCACCGTGTCCTCTTTCTTCATCTCCTTGATCTATACTTCTCTCCCCTTCTGCCCTCCTCGATGCGACGGTCCTCTGGTTTCTCGGGCCTGAGGCCCATTATAAAGCATCGAGGAGTAGCAGCGAACACCAAGCCCATGGACGCCAGAGCTGCGGACGATACCATTTCAACTTCCATAAAAATTGGATAGAAATCAATTTTGAACCTAATCCATCTGATTTTGTGTGAGCTTCTCATTTTAATTTCAATTTAAATAGAAATTAAATATTAAAATATAATAAATAATAGATTTCAGGTTATTCATATAGTATCATTTTGCTATACATTAATCTAATTACAGCTCATTTGGGATGAAATTTTGACCAATTTTATAAAGTTGAGAAACTAAGGTTTCATTTAGGATGGTTTTCTTATTGCTTAATAAAACAGTTTTTAGTACATAATTAATTTCTATGTTAAAAAGTATACAATTAATTTTTTTACAAAAAATCGCTTTAAGAAGTACTAAGAAAGCCGTCACAAATGAAACCTTAGAGTCTACCACAATATTCTAAATCGAGAATATGATAAAGCCCTATATGGGGGCTACCATAGAATTATAAATACAAATTATCATAAAATCTTAAATGGAGACTATTGCAAGCTGGAACATTTACAGTGATAGAAAGATATAGAGTTTAGCGTCCAAATTTTATACGAAGATCCATAATACATATAGATAAAGAGAGGGGGGTGGAGGTCGGGGGGATCATAGTTAGTGGATGACAATGGTCGAAGGGACCATGGTCGGAAGGTGACAAATGCCAGAAAGATCGTGGTTACTGGACCATGGAAGTCGAAGCAGTGTCTTGATGGCAGCTGGGTGGAGGTCTGGCGATGGCCAACCACGGGCGGAGGTTTGGCCTATATCAGTAGCCGAGCGGTGGTCTAACGATCGGGTGGAAGTTTGACAACAATTGATGGCCGGGTGATCGTCCGACTGAAGTTCGGAAGGCGATCGACAGTAGTTCGCCAGCTGTGGTGCATAGGTGGAGCTTTAGATCCTTGAAGCCACGTAACTCTCTCCAATCTCCATCCAAAAGTCCAAACTCCAAGCTCCCTTCTTATAGAAAGTGGGGATTTATTTTTAGATTTTTTTAGAGTGGCACTTCCTATAAATATTGAAAAGATCTGAGGACAAATTTGGTGTGCTCCATTGGACGGTCCACATTGATCACCTCGATCATAGAGTGTTTGTCAAACATTTTTGTTACCAAATGATGTCAGAATTAAACCATCTTAGCCTTTCTAGATTCATCTCGTCGAGCCGCTAGATTTGAATATAAGCATGACATATTTAGAGGTGATTTAATCCTCCAATTAATGTTTGAAATCTTCCAAATATTCTTCGGTCACTTGATTTGGAATTATTTGGGCTTGAATTTGACCGATTTTGAATACATGCAATCCAATATAATGTTTAAATAAATTTTTAGACAAATATATGCAATCCAATATAATAAATAATGCTTCACAGAAAATCCTTTGAACCACGCATATTGAGACCAATTCAGAATCGGTAAATTTGTAAGCTTTGGAATTGGAAAAACATTCTTCTATATTCTAATGAATTTTATCTCAGCCGTATGATATGGGTAAATTCCAGATTGAGTTATAAAAGTTTGGTTTTGGATAGCCAATGAATGAGGAAGTGTTCATTTTCTATGTTGAATAATGGAATTCATTGATGGACTAACTAAAAAGGCTATATATAGTTTTGAATTCCTTTAAGAAATTGGACATCTTAGTAATAAAAGCGTCCAAAATGTCCTCAGATAGGATAAGTTTAATAAGAGTGAATTACTCAAATAGAATAAAGATTGGTGGGTGTAATGGTAGGTGATGGGTAGACCTGTCAATATTGGCCCCAACCCGCAAATTCGGCCCGAACTCGACTTGAAAATTTCAGATCTAGCGGTGGCATAAAGTTGTTCAATTAACAGGAGAGTGACTTATGCTTCGTTTGGGACTGCTTTCTTACTGCTTCTTAAAGCAATTTTTTAGTATAAAAATTTTATTTCTTGTACTAAAAGCTACTTTAAGAAGTAGTAAAAAAACCGTCCTAAACTAAGCCTTAAGAGGCACCCTCCTCTCGACCCAATAAGTTGATAGATCTCTAGGAGAACCTCTCTTGGCTACCTTCAACAAATCATAGCATGACTTTAGTTAGCCTGTTTGAGTTTGGCAGAAGTGCAAGGCTTTTATGATCTTGTAGTTAAATTTTAGCATAATCTTTGATGGTAGGAACACATATGAGGGAATCTACAATAGAAGCTTTTTACATGTAGAGATTTTGCTAAAGAAGGGTGCTAAATGAATGAGTGATCTTCAAGAATAAGTATTTACACATCGTGGTTAGTTATGGCTGATGTACAATTCTTAGGGCTGCAAGCCAACTGAGAGTTCAACAAGCTACTCGAGGTTCGGATTGATTAAAATTTGTTTGTGGTCGTTTAATTAAGTAATAAGAAATCTTGAATTTTTTTTTTAATGCTCAATGCTTTAATAAATAAGCTTGAACAACTATGTATTTGACTCATTTATGTTCATGAACTATATCGTCCGAAGCTCGTGAACATACTCGATAAGAAGCTCATTATAAAGCTTGATTCTTGATTAATACAAAAGTTTAATGAATCTAATATAAATATTTTATGTTTATTATAATTTAAATATATAATAATTATTGTTTAATAAATTGTAAAATTAATTAAATTTTATAATATAGATTAATAAAAATGCATCATAAATATCTATTAATTGATATTATATTATTATGTATAATTTCATTAAATTATTTTTATTTTATGATATTATCTAATCATATATTTATATTTTATACCTTTTGTTTTAATTCCTCACCGCTTAGGTCAAATATCATAGGGCCTCATAGAAGAATTATAACTTGTTTGTTTGTGAAAGAGCTTGTTTGGTAATTCGAAAACACTGAGCTAGATGTATTCGTGAACAAATTTGTTTGATAATTCAAAAACTCTTGCTAGATATGTTCGCGAGTATTCCTGTTAGGTAGTAAAAAACACTCGCTATATATGTTTGTGACCATAGCTAGAAATGTTCGTGAATGTGTTTGTTAGTAGGATCGATAAAGCTTGATAAAGTTTGTTTGTTTAAAGCTCAATAAGTACAAAATAAATCGAACATGAACCAAACACAAATCAAATATGAACATCCATCAACTTAAACGAATCAAATTTTAACACGAACAAGAAAGCTCAAATCGAACTTGAACGAGCACAAACAAGCTGATAATAAACTAACACAAACATAGACAACCAAATGCTCGACTCAGCTCCTTTCATTCACAGCCATAGCATTCAACAAACATAATTTTCGTAGTTAACTTGGAGGGGAAATATGAGGAAATCATCAAAGGATGGCCAACTTTATATGAAATTCTTTAGCTCTATATTGAAAGGCGCACATTAACCATGAAAAATGATATGTATAACTTACGTTTGACCATAATGCTTGGGTAAATAAATGTCAACTTCAGAATAATCAAGGAGCTTTTAAATGAAGGCAAGAAGAATAAAAAAAAGGAATTTTTATTTTGAAAAAGTATGAGGAGAATAAAAAAGAGAATAACAAAAATTGAAGAGTACAAATAGTTTTATACTCTTGGTCATGTTGACCAACAAGAAAAATTAAGGCCAAACAAATAAAAAAAAAGGTTAAAATTATTTATTATAATCCACACGAAGAGATAAAGTAGGAATGTCAAATTTTGACGCGACCCGAAACATGACTCAAATCCGACCTGAAAAAATCCTGGTTTGAGTTGACCCGGATAGCAAACGGGTTGGATTCGGGTTCGAAAATCTGACCATATTAAAGAGTTTCAGGTCGAGTTTGGGTTCGAAAATCTGACCCGATTTGAGTTTCGGGTTGGGTTCTGGTTGAGGCGAAAACTTGAACTCGACTCGAAATTGACCCGGAAACTGTTATGCCCATGTCTGCTGCTTGCCCGCCCTGCCCACAAAATGACTAGATTCTGCGACACGTCGCTCAATCCGTCAGTCGCGTACTCGCATGTCACATATGAGAGTCTCTTTGCCAATTCACCTCCTTCGAGGTCGTCGCCGCTCTTTGCGTCTGCTGCTCGGCGTGCCCTCCCGTCGCTGCTCCTTTCAAATCTGAAATCCTTTATCTTCCTCCTTCGGCAACGGGATCTCATCATCTTCCTCCGATGATGTTCCTTCCTGTCAAATCGGAAGGCGGGCAGGACAACTCACCGGCTTGTCGGAACTGGAAAGCTCGACGATGTTCCTTCATGTCAAATTGGAAATCCGTGTCGGGTGACCCGAATTTGAAGCAGGTCGGGTTCGGGTTGAGATAAACAATGCTGGATCGGGACAGTTTCGAATTCAACCCAAATCTGACCCATGATCCGAAATTAACACCCATAATAAAAAGTAATAATACCTAAAGGTTTGCTACTTTTTTATGGCTGCCTCAGTAGCAACATAGAGTAAGAAATAGCCCAAATATCATCCTTATCTTATCTAAAGCGTCAAGTCCCCACACAGATTGATCCTAAAGCGATAGATAATATGACCGAAAGGGAACCATGCAAATATATTTGTAGGATTTTCGTATGTGTCTCGTTGGATATGATGCGATTCTCCATTGTCTCCTTCTCCTTCCACTCCCTGTGGCCAATCCACTACTGAGTTTATCTCTTCTAAATCAACGTTTTTTTTTTTTTTTTTTGGAAATTATTTAATTAGTGCGTGTGTAAGGTAAAGCATATTTCGCATTTATTTAATTAAATTAATAAAAATATAAATTACATACTATAATATTAATAGTTTATTCGTGTTATCGTGTATGGGTCCATTACGGCATGGTCCCATTACCATCACGGCATGGTCACACGGTCTCCTGTGGGCTCCTTATTGCTTTGGGCATTTTCCAACCAAAAACTCAAATTTTTACTCTAAAATGACGAAAAACTTCAAAATACCGTAATTTATCTCCAATAGAACTCTATTTCTCTTTTTTCCAGCGCTAAAAACATCTATTTTATTTCGCGTCTTTCCTTTGAAGCTAAAAATAGAGCGATTTTTTGG